ATGTATAGCAGAAGACTTGAAAACATTGATTGTGGAGATTGAAGAAAATTAACTTAAAAAAAAAACAAGTAAAGCAAGAAATGTTTGTTCTGGAGATCAGTTTTTTCCTGTTGTGAAGACACAGTGTTTTAGTATGGTCATGTTCTCTGCCTGAATGACATTTTACTGTTGGGGTCCTATACTATGAGATGCCTGTTTCAAGCCTGGAAATCTCATGGTCCTCAGGAGAAGCAGTGAACACACTGTTCTGTGGGGACAGCCCCATTGATGGCCATGGCTCTGGGAGAAGGCACAGGATCTGAAATCTTGTTAAAAGCCAGATGCCTCATTTAGCTGTATTTGGTGAAAAGATATGTGAACTCTTATCAGATGATAACATACTGTTGGCAAGATATTTTAAATATAATGCTTTTTTTTTACTGTAAGATGAAGAAATGATGATGAAACCAAGGAAACTTGAAAGAAATTGTTACTTAAATCAGGAGAAGGTGGCTGAGGGAGGGTAAGCAGAATGTTCCATGTTTTTAATTTTCTGTGAGAGACAATTCTCAGGGAATAAGCTTGACATATGCCGATAATTTTATTTTAAGCCAGTTGCCTCAGCAAATTGTTATATTGCTTTCTTCCATGGAAGGATTCTCATCTGCAGATTTTCGTGTTGAAAGTTAGCTGTTTGGTGACACTGCATTTGGCTGTGAGCGCATGAATGTGAGAAGGTGTTTTGGAACATTAGCAATTATAGCATTGGATGGTGGATAAAGAAATAGATACATAAATACTAGAACGATGCAGTTTTCCAGTGTATGTTATTTTCCATATAAGGATATAGAACATTTCATAAAATGTTCCCAGACCATTTAAAACTCAAAGAAACGCAGCTGACGCAATGAAATACATAGAGTACTTGTAAAAACATACAGACACGCAAGTGGATTGCTGCCAGACAGAAAATTTAAAGGCGGTTTGCTTAACTGTGGGGTGCTAGGTTTTGTACATGTGCCATGCTGAAACTGTTAGTAAGGCGGGTGTTGTGTTGCTTGAGAAAAGCAGATTGTATTTGGACCTTTTTAACTCAGATGTTTCCAGTGTCGATATTTTGGTGACATTATGGCATTGCGATCAACTCAGTGTGAAAAAAATTTCAACCTCCTGTGCAAAATAGATGTTTTAAGAAAATTCCAATAAATTGTTTGCAGTCTCTGTGTTAATTTTTACAAAATGGCTTTCATAGATTTATTAACTATCAGGCTGGCTCTTTGAGCTAATTGAATGGTACTTAATACATTGGAGTTTGACTTTAAAAAGGGTTCCATTTTTTTTTTTAAAGCATTGTTTTAGAGAATTTTAAGGACCTATGAAGTTTGTTTTTGTAACTCTCAGGGGCCTCAAGGGCATAAAACTAAACAAAAGTTTTGTGCTTGAATTGTAGTAAGTAATAATGCATATATTTCCTTGGAATATTACTTTGTTAAAAATCTGGGATGCAGGTTGTGAATTAAATTCCTGGTCCCCCAATCTAAAATGCTCACTTTAGGGATGGTCTTAAGTACAACTGAAAGAATTTAATGGGCTGTGTTTATGTTGCCTACTCTCTAGGTACTGTTTAGGACCGTATGGTTGGAGTGGCCTACATTTGACATGCCAATATCATCTTTGCTTTCAGTGTGTAAGGATGGGTTGATTCTTTTTCATCTGTTTTTGTTGTCTTTTTTTTTTCAATTCTGCTGTGTTTTATATATATATATATATATGAACAAAACTTTTACAGTGATACATTTTTATTAATATGGCTTATGAATAGTTGATCAAAGACATTTAAGAACTATCTCCTACCTATGAACAAAATTTTTTTTAAAACAAAATTGAATACATCATGAAGTTTGGTTTCTGATGTTCATTTCCTCATGAAATGGTGATAGAAAAATGAAAGTTTTAGGCCAGGCGTGGTAGCTCATGCCTGTAATCCTAGGACTCAAGAGGCTGAGGTAGGAGGATTGTTGCAAGTTCAAGACCAGCCTGAGATACAAAGTGAGCTCAGGGCCAACCTGAACTGCATAGCGAGACCCTGTCTCAAAAAACCAAACCAAACCAAACCAAACAGAGAGAGAAAAGAAAGGAAGAAAAAAAAAAAAAAAGAAAAAAAATTTTGATTTTTATTTCCATCAGTGTTTTGTGGTTCCCAAGCACAAACTACTGCCAGAAAGAGGATGTGATATTAAAGATTTATATAAGTCATTTCCCTATGAAATTTGCTACTTGAAGAGTGCTAACCACATGACAATTGAAAGAAAAAGGATAAGCTACAGGTGATTTCTGTGGCTTCCCCAACCTGTGTTTTATGTACCTTATAAGCTAAGAGCTCATATTTTTGGTCTCTTGGCCAAATTTTAAGGTATTTTTGTATGTCTAAATCTTTTGTGTTTTTTTTAAGACAGGGTTTCAGTATGTGGTTTAGGCTGGCATTGAACTCACTTTGTAACACAGGCTGGCCTCAAATGTGCAGCAGTTCTGAGTGCTGGGATTACAGGTGTGTACTACCATGCCTGTCAGTTTTTGCGTATATTACACCCACTGCATTCTTTTTTTATTTCTATTTTTTTAAGTGTCTTCCTCACTTTCTTGATCTCCTTACCTTGTTCAACTACTATGACTTACTTTTAGAGAGTTTCTGGATAGCACATTGTTCTTTGGATCCTGCTAGCTAATTCTTCTTTGGAGCCTACAATAGGCTAAGCATCCCTAATCTGGGAGTCTGAAATACTTTCAATTTCAGGTTTTAATTTTTTTTGTTTTAAAGAGGATAAAACAAAGCCAGGTAAAACAAAATAAAGCCAATCAAAACAAAATAGTGAAAGTGATACAGGGCTTCAAAACAGGATAATAGAAAATCAATCATTGCTACCATAATGCCTCTTATCTTCAAAATTACTGCCTATACCATCAGATATAATAAAATCAAACAAAACAGAATAAAACCAATCCAAACATTGAATAAAACAAAACAATGAAACAGAACAAATCAAAATAGAACAATATTGGATTTCAAAAACCAGACAGAAGAAAATCCCCCATAATTGCTATATTGCATATTGGTATCTAAGTAGATGCTCAGACGACCAGCTTTAGGCCTGTAAATCAATCCAACAATGTAAGCATTAAGTTGTTTTTGTACCTCAGTTGCTATCAACTCAGTCTGTGTCCTCCGAATCAGTCGTTGCTTGGGGGCTGGAAGTTGCTCAGCTCTTCGTACATACCAGCCCACATGCTGCCTGCCAAAAGAGCTCATCTTGTTTCTCCACCTGGCCCACAGGTGCTGCTCATGGTTTCAGATTTTGGACTTTTGGATTAGGAATGTTCAACTAGTGAAGTCTATGTAAAAATTCTAAAAATTTGAAAAACTCCAAGCTGTGTAATTTTTCTGGCCCCAAGCATTTGGGAGAAGTTACTGAGATGAAGTACTTTTATTGTCATACTGTCAGCACCCTTTGGCCTAGTTTCTCACCAGACCCATGTCTTTGTACTGCTTCAAACTATGAGGTCAGTGGTGGCAAAGCTTTGGTGGCAGTGCCACAGCCAAAAAGTTCGCCCTCACTGCTTTAGGGCAAAGATTGTCAATAGCATTTTCATCTAGGGAGCCTGGAGTGGTAGTATAGGTGTTATTCTAGCATTCTGTTAGTCCCAGTCCAGATATATTATAGATCCCTTCCTTACAGCTGAGGGTGAGAATAAAGAGCAAAATCCAATCCTTTTTTAAAAAGTGAATTAGAAGACATCCAAAGAGCTAAAGTGCTCTGTATATGATTTCAACATTTTTGCACCATCCATTTTGTGATGTGACTTTTCGAATATTCCTGCTTTTGTTGTTAGTTCTTAGGGTTTTAAAATTATCATCTACTAACTTTATTGACTTGAATTTAAATATAGTGAATAGCTAGAGCCTTTTCTTTTTTCTCTCCTTTTTTCTTCACTGAAGAACAATGAGCTGTGTTTGTGTATTATGATATGGAAAGTTTTAACCTGTACTTGAATTCACTTGCACAGATAAGTAAATTGGTATTTTAGCATGATTTTTGGTATGAAAAGTGAGTAGTGCAGATTTTGAAATGACTGTGAACAGGGAAAGAGACACTCATATGCTGTGCTTTTCCATGTCCTTTGCAGAATGTGTCTCTGAAGAATCGGATCATTTTCTTACTAGAAATGATTGAATGTTTTCCTGATCAATTGTAAATGAAGTGCTAATAGCTTTTAATTAGTACACTTCTGTATTGACTTACAGACATGGTATTGGATTGTCTTGCAATTATGATTTAAGAATTAACTGACCCTTCTAAGCAGATGGCCAGCAAAGTTTCACCTTTGTATTTTTACAGTTTCTAAGCAAATCTATGTCAGAGAGAACATCATATTGTAACCCTTGGTTTACACAATAAGCCAAAAGTGTTGGTTCTGCTTTAAAGAAAACTTTATCTATTTTTTTATATGTATTTTGGTAAGTGTTCAGAAGCACTTGGGGAAGGGTATATTTTATGTTTTAAAAGCTCTTTAGTTTTACATTTGTTCCTTGAAAGAATTCTCTCATTCTCCTCTTCTCCCCAGTCTGAAAATGGTGCTTAAGGTTTATCAAGCCAACATCTGTAACGATGAAAAGGAGACCACTGCTGATTAGAGAAGAAAAGTCAAGCAGGTTTAAGACTCATTTTCTCTGGAAAAATATATTGAGGGCAATTTGCAGCTGGCAAGGTTTTTTGCATTAGGTAATAGTCTAAAGTTAACAGTAGCATCAGGTCTTTAAAATTTTTCTTTTTTATATTTCTGGAGGAGGGTAATGGGAGTGCCTCACAGAGTCCTTCCTGGTGCTCATCAACATAGCGGCCTCAGCTGCCCCCCTTGGATCCCCTGCCAGGGCTGCTATCATCTTCTGATCAAATATTAATGTGTGATCCTCTGCTTGCTCACTAATCCAAAGCCAATTAATATTATCTGTCAATTATTTACAGATCCTGAGGTGCAGAGGCAATTCCCGGAGGACTACAGTGACCAG